AATAGAAGTAATCGATTTCGAGGTCAATGAATAGAATAGAATTTAAGAAAAATATTAATTTATCAACGAGATGAGCCTGAATAAAAAAAAAATACAAAATTTTATTATAGTTTAAATTTTTCAATAACAATAACTTAAAATTATTACCGAATACACATTTCGATTAAATCGATTTTATTGATTCAATCCCTATTAAAAAAGTTCAGAGTTACGTTACAAGTATTGATGTTTTAAACTTCAGAAGTTTAGATAGATTTCAGTAATTATGGCTTTTAACATTTTATTCCTGTTTTGATATAAAAAATTAAATAAATACCCAGTATATACACTGACAAACAACTTTTTATACTTCGATGGTTTTTAATTATTTGGAAATACAAATTGCGTGAAATGAATTTGTTAACATACCAGCGTCGTCACCGTACCCATGCTATATGAAACGCACAATAAAGTAATTTATTCAAAATTTATCCACCAAAATATATGTCAAAGTAGCAAAATGCAACGAAAATATAGTCATAATATTCGTTAAGTGTTGGTGGCGTATCTTATGACTAGAATTATTGCTAGAGAGTTATACAGTCGCACCCCAGGTATACAATGTCTAGACCGAGAATCTATACATCATAATCCGGGACCTCAGAGTAGGCGACAAATTGTTACCAGCGTGCGAGCCACTCGGCAATCACAAATAAAGCTTCTTTTGTAGGGTAAAAGTGGCAGTAGCCCGCAAGGACTCGGCTATACAGGCGTTGACCCGCGAAGCTTCGAAGTACCAAGAGAAAGTCGCATTATTAGAACAAAAGCTTCAACAACAACGCAAGGACTTCCTCAAACAAAAGTGAATTAACGCATCTCTCCTCACACACACCATAAGGCAACAACTACCTTTACCCTAGGGTTATGGTCTGCGATTTGAAAGAACAATCTTTAAGTACTTAAATTTTGGTATGATCTTTTTAGCGTTTTCTACCATTATCATTATTTTCACCCCCTTTATGCACTGCTGGATTGTATTTAGTAAAAAAAATATAACTTGGTAAACTTAATGAGATACTGAATCTCGTTATTCGCCTCTGGGTATCATTTATTAATTAAAATGGGGCAGATGACTCGGTTTTTGCCACTTTGAGAGTTACGACGAAGTGAATATGTTAACGCAATTAATTTTACCATAAACGAAATATTTTTAAAACCGTTCACGGTAAATTAATATATTTGTCTATGCGTTAGTTAAAACCCTTTAAAATTCCAAATGGCCAAAAAGGGGGCAGTGGCCAAGACCGGGTCTTCTATCCTATATTAGATGAGTAGCCCTTGTATTATGGAGTATCTGAGACAATAGTACCACAATACCCAGACCCGAGGCAATATAGTGAAGTCCATTTTTTACATTGAACCGACATGAAATCGAACCCGGAACTTAAGAGACAGCGACACCTCGAAACCGGCGAGCCAACCACTCGGCTAAGAAGGATTTACATTGATATTTTATATGCTTGATATTTATTTTACTCTCAACCAGTTGCACAAACGTTCATTAAATTTTTCATTAGTTTAAAGTGACATTACCCATACAAAGGGTTTAGCCGGATACGTATGACGAGTCGGCCCCCAAATGGGAATCTATATTGAAACTTATGTTTTAATATCGACTTGATGTTCAAACACGATTTATGTACTTTTCGCGACCGACTTCCGCTTTGACCTTGAGATAGAGAGCAAAATATCCGTATGCTTGACTATTACTGAATGTGATATATCTCTGAAGCTAATTAAGATAAAGATGTGAAACTAACGCGAGGTGTTAGGTTACATTACAGAGTATATCACATATATTTTTTTTATAATTTTTAGAATAAAAAATTACATTAAAAAAATAAAAATAAAAAAAACATGTTTTTTTTTCTGAGTTCTCTGTGACTTACAATCACGAAATTAATATATGTTATGCTCCTTTGTGTGCTCTATCACCCATAAAAATTGCGTGAAAAAAAAGTTGGTGCAACACAACGAAAAAAAAATATATGTGATTTCTGTCTTATGGTATACCCCTGTATTATAAGGTTTTCACATTACATCATTGTTTTTTTTTTCGAAATTTCACATCAGCTTGTTTTAAAACATAAGTAACTAGTCTTAAGAGATGGGATAATAGTTAAAAAAGAAATGAAAAAAAAAACAGCCAGTGTTCAATACTTATTATTATTACTTTTTCGTGTCTATCAAAATACAAGAAACAAAATATTAATCATCGTCACTGTTGTAATTAATTACAATCGGAACACTTTGAGTCGCAAATAACCTAGTTAGGACCTCAGCAGGACGTACGATTTTGGACAAATATCATCCATATGATAGATAATAAATAATAGTTGCTACATGAGAACAGCATCCCACTGTACGTTTGCCATTGAGGCAATCACAGCAATAACGAAGAATACTATTGTAGTCATTACCTTCGGAAATATAGTGAATGTAAATTCGATAGACTTTTCTATTTATGTCTTGATTTTACTTCTGCTTTGATGATATTAGGTGCTGATTTCACATATTGTACTGAGAGATTATTTTGATCGTCCATTATTTCGGCCAAGTTAAATGCTGCACATTTAGAAGTAGAAGCTTTTTTGTTAATATATGGGATAAGTCAACACTTCTTACAAAAAATATCATTAACTATTACGATTTTATTCAAACAGTCACTAAACACTTTAGCTTCTTCTTCATTCTTCATAATTTTTTTATAACCAGGAACCTTACACAGGTACTTGTTACAATTTTTACACTTTCTCGACATTATTACTTAAAATGATTTAGTTCGATAGTTAATAATTTAAAAATGCTGATACAAAATACCTATGACAGAATTGAATTCCCAAACTGTCTTCTTGTGTAATACAAATGACGGCTACTTTAGCTAAACAAACGATGCAGTAAACAGCTCGATAACAAGTTCGAACTTGTTTGTTTATACACTTACACTACAAGGCGCGAATCACATATAATTTTTTTTCGTTGTGATGCACCAACTTTTTTTTCACGCAATTTTTATGGGTGATAGAGCACACAAAGGAGCATAACATATATTAATTTCGTGATTGTAAGTCACAGAGAACTCAGAAAAAAAAACATGTTTTTTTTATTTTTATTTTTTTAATGTAATTTTTTATTCTAAAAATTATAAAAAAATATATGTGATATACTCTGTAATGTAACCTAACACCTCGCGTTAGTTTCACTTCTTTATCTTAATTAGCTTCAGAGATATATCACATTCAGTAATAGTCAAGCATACGGATATTTTGCTCTCTATCTCAAGGTCAAAGCGGAAGTCGGTCGCGAAAAGTACGTAAATCGTGTTTGAACATCAAGTCGATATTAAAACATAAGTTTCAATATCGATTCCCATTTGGGGGCCGACTCGTCATACGTATCCGGCTAAACCCTTTGATATTCATTAGTGCTTAAAGGCGTCATTAAACCTTAATGGACGTTTGTGCAACTGACCATCTATGATCTTAAATGTAATCTAGTCTAGACTAAAACACTAGTCTGTAATAATAACATTCTGATATTAAGGCTTTGATTTACATGTTATTTTAAGCATCACCACCGTAGTAGCAACTTGAATTGGCTCTTAAATTATTCTTTTGCCCAACTATGAGGTAACGATACCTAACTAAGGATACTTATTTGGGATTTTAAGTAGAAGAGATTTAACATTGTTTCTTAGTTTTTTTTTTTTTTGCTCATATCTTTTATGAATTTTCTGTATTGTGCGTTGTGTTTTAAAATAATAGTTCTGTAAAGTAATACTTTTTAATTATAATGCATATGAAATTTATGTCTAAAGATGATTCTGATTTTGAAAATTAAAATTTTTTAATGTATGCTTTTGAGTGTATGCCAAACTGCTTTCTGTGAAATTAGGATTATGTCATTGGCTATTCTACATAATAACATTAAAATAATCCTCTCTATATTTTTGAATCTGTTAAACCTGATACTTTTATTAATTGTTTCGCTCAAAAATAATACATTAAAGTTCAGAATCTGTATTATTTCTTTTGAAACATAATAATACACTGATGCACAAAATTCTTAGGTACTATTGATATGAAATATTTGTCTTCCTGAATTTTAGTATGATGGAATGATTAAATTTATAGTCATAATGTCTTTAAAGTAATGCATACAAATCGTTTAATGTTATACGTAGCAATTTTTATCATATACTATCTCTAGAAAATTATTATTTACAAAAATCACATTATAATTAAATGTATTATTATAAATGAATTTGGAAAATAATTAAATATACACAAATCAGCCTTGCGATTCAGTAAAAATCCAGCCCAGAATTCAAATGTGTCCGAATTATATGAAAAATTCTATTAGTTAATTTTTTTGTATAAAAATACAAAACAAATTGATGGATTAAACGTGTCTCTGATATTCTATTCCTATGACATTTCGAAACTCACTTCACTTATGCCACGAAACGTTATTACCAATTCAAGATTGAGCGGAAGCAGCTTTTTGCAGTGAATTCGGACACCTAAGTGAATTCAAACTCGGGTTTGTATTTTTACAGAGTCGCAGGGCAGGACTCTCTATACGATTTTACTTAAAAATCTAAAACACTCGACGGTTGACTATACGCATCGTGACTTATTTAATGAGATTTTAGACTTTCTAATTTCGTAAATCGATAAATTTTTATAAAAATAAAAAAAAAATGTGATTTCTTTCATTTTATAATATATGTATATCAGTTTTGTTGGCGACTGTATGATTACTATTTTAGTTAACAGTTTGAATAGGTTTGTCAGTTTTTTGTTCGGTAAAGTTTATTAAAGGTGAAGAGATCGTGAATCTTAGCATGCGTCTTGTAAGGGGTGTTTGAAGGTCATGAAATGGCAACAATTAGAATGGCGGCCAAAGAAAATTAATTCCTAATTACATCTTGTACCTTTGTTTGTTTATTTTAGAAAGGTACCTAAAGATTATTTTTTATAAGTAATTATAGTAAAACTAGATAATATTTCTTTTAGTAATACAACTTTGTGATTGTAATCCGTCCGCATAAATTATGTTTATTTATGTAAAACTTTTGCCAATGAATATATTGTTTATTTATGAGATTTAGTTTTTTTTTTATTATGTATCCCTAATGATTTCTACGTTGATGAATGAAACAATTTTTAAACGGTTTTATCGCATTTGTATTTAGTATAGACGATGGTTGGTATATACCACCGGCTTGGGATCCAGTAATTGGTCAAATAAAATCATAATCCAGCTCACACATTGCAAAACCAAAAGATACAGTTAGATAATTCTGTAAATATTATGTCAAAGGGAGCAATTCACTTTTCTTGACGGAGTTTGTTTCGCCAGTTCTTCTCAGACAAGACTCCCAAATTTGGAACTGTTGGTTGATTACGGTAGCCAGGGGTAAATAAAAAAGTCAAATGTATTTTTAAAATAAATAAATAAATATAAACCTTTCCATAAAATTATTTAGGTAATTAAGGTAATTTATTTTTATTTTGAATGTGTCCAATACTATTATATAAGAAATCAATATGATTCCTGCATTGAATTAAATTATAACACTATCTGCCAAGCGTAATTAGATAGGGACAAAGGATGTCGAAATGTGCGTATAAAAACTATTTTTAATTACTTAATTATTATTATTGTAAATGTGCGAGTCTCTTGTATAAAGTGACTCAGATATTTATCAATTTATCCCAATAAAAATGAGTAAAATTACAAAAAAAAAACGTTAATTTTAAGGGTAACTTTGTGGTCTTTTTTCTATCTAGATTATTTAAATTCATGTTTTGATTGCGACGGAACAATTACAAATATGATGTATTTTTCGCATTATTTTATATAACTAATTTGCAATTTTTTTCGAACGCATCCAATTGAATGAGAAACATTTTATTAATGTACGCGCTCTTTTAAAGTTGTGCTCTTTCCACACCAAGTTTTATGTTTGAAATGAAAGAAAAAACATTTTCATAAAAATATCTAAAATAACTTTAATATAATTAACATTTCTTAAAAAATTTAATACCGCATAGGTAAAGTTTAAAGCTCCGTTCATATAATTAAAGACGTATAGATTTCCATATTTTTCTCCAATCACCAAGGCCTCCACATCTCAGTATTGCTCGAACCTTGTTCTGGTGAATTTGAACTCCTCTGGTTCATGACAGATCCATCGTTATCTCGGACTTCTACAGTTTGATTGACCCGAGACGATTGGGCCAGAGATGTGGCCGTATGGCTTATCACAGTTCTTGAGGTTGATAGCGGCATATCAGGGTTTACAAAGATTCTGCTCTCAAGCAGCGGCCTTTCTAATGGCGTGGATATGCTCTCAGGAATGGACATTTTCTTCTCCTGGCAAGTCATTTGTTTCTCCGGAACTCTTCTAAACGCTGACCTCTCTGGAGACTTTCTAACACAAGGCACTTTACTGTCCGCTTTTAACTTTTCCGAAATGTTCACGTTATGTTCCTGTTCCAGTCGTATTAACTTCGGCGCAGGCCCCATAGCTTCCACGACGGGTCTCTTCAATTTGTTTCTCATAGAATAGTCCACTGCTCTTTTGGGCGATGCGTCTATCCCTATTTTATAGTTTTCCACGTCTATGATTATAGATAACGGTTCCATATACTTTCTGTTCCTCAAAACGTCTTGTTTTAGAGTCTCCGGTGATATCGTAGTCGATGATACTGTGGGTTTCTGCGTTTCGGGACTGGAATCTTGGTCGGACGCCGATCGGCTAGGTGGAGTGGGAAAAGGAAACGTTTGGACAGCTCTGGGGGGAGTTTCTAATTCTGTTGACGAGTCACACGCCGAATCACAGGATAGCGGGCTAAGAGGTGGACTAGTTGGTTTTGTGGACCTGACGAAATGGAACGCGCTAGGTCTTTCGTCGTCGAGTCTTAACGGGTCCGGTACTAGGGGATAGTCTGGGGGGTTTGTGCGCTCGATGCCATTGATGCACGAGTTGAGGTGGTTGCCTAGTCTATGACGGAGGCCGGTGGGGACGCTGGCGAGTCGAGAGAGATATCTGCGCACCTCCACTGCGCAGTCGCCGAAACCAGCTTTAAACCGGTGTAGTACCGCGGGGTCTGCTGCGATGGCGGCCGCTAGTTGCTGCCGTTGCAGTGTCTGTAGATGCTTCACGGTCAATTCTAAGATATCAGCCTTCTCCAGCTTAGAGTGACGGGTCGGCTGCAAAATGAAAACGAGAGTCATTAAAGTTTTACAAGATTCTTATATGAATTCAAGGAGTCAAGCAGAAGATGGATGTAATTGTCCTACGTCAAAAAAGAGAGAAAAATCTTAAAATATTGTGTTACTAGTACTGTAATTAACTTATTTTCTTATCGGTATTAATTTGAAAGGCAATTTATAGTTTCTTTTGAATTTAGCCGGTGTTACCAAAAAAGGCGAGTTTAAATCACATCAGGTACGTGTATGATTCAATGACAAGATGATTTTTTTTACTATTATGAAACTGCGAGTTAATAGTTATCTGGTATATGTTGTAATAAAGATTTTCATAAACTATACTTTAAGTCAATAAGAATAACTTGATGAAAAGGCAACATCTACTCATAATTTTGAAGGAAATTACTATTTTCTAAATGTAATAAAAACACTTACGTCTGCATTAGTGGAATCCATTAATAAATCTTTCAATTCGTTCAGGCACTGGTTGATGCGCGCTCGACGTTTCTTCTCCATTATCGGCTTATTAGTCTGAAAGCGATATAAAGACGTCCGTTAATTTTTCACATTTCATGTATATTACAATAATGTTGCGTAATCGTGTCTTCGATCCTTAAGTAATATGAATTACATGCCATATATTTTTATGACAAAAATGAACTAGTACGCGAATGTAATTATAAAAACATATAATTAAAACGGCAAAATTCATTACTTCATACACTTTAATTTATTACATACTTTTCTAACTTTTTATTTGGGTATAGGTATGACTGCTATTAATATAAATAATAACATTGCAACATCATTAAGAAAACACTTCCACAAAATGCTGATATCACTTCACAAATCTCACCTTCCTCAACTCCGCTTTAGATAATCCCTTAGTGTCAGTACCAAACCCTGATTGGGAGTCGTCATCTTCGCTACACGGCATTTTCCGGTCACTATTTATATCACACAAATACACGTCCGCCCGCCACGGGCACTCGGATCGTAATGTTTAGGTGACCTGCGTATGCGCATAGCAAAATTCAAATTGCCCCTGTTCCCATATCCATCCTGTTTGATAAACGCAGCCGGAATATACACCTGTCTCTGTCGCTCTCGAGTATTTAGACGCTGGGAACTGTGTCGGAATGTTTTGTTTTCTCTCTGTCTCGCTCTTTAGGGAACCTGTCGGAATTATCGCCATATGTAATGTGGTGATAAAGTTTTGGCGTGTTTGAGTTCGATTCTATTCAATGACAATAAATTTAAAATTATATAAATAATTTTATAATGTTACGATATAATAAATATTTGTTTATAATTTATTATTACTGTTTTTTTTTATTATTGTATTATATTTAGCGTATTTATTTAAATATATATTTAGATGTTTTAAAATGTATAAAAAATAAATAAATGATATCGTTATTTATTTTGTGCGATTTTATAGTGTAGATACTAATATTTTAATTAATGGCTAAAAAAATATTTATTTATTTATTTTCTCTCATAATTTTGTACATTATTAAGACAAAACTAAATTTATTTTAACACTACTCATTATATAGTGAAATATCCAAACGGCGACACTCCCATTGTCCTGTAATGTATGGGAATGTAAGACCGCTCGAATGTCGATCAAGTACGTTATTATTTTTCACACTTATTGAACCAAAAAAATGTCGTATTTCATGAACGCTACTTTTCCATAAAAGACGCCGATTATTTCATACGCCACCTTAGGAATTTAACTCGGTACTTTGTGTTCGCTGTACTGTGAAGGGTAGGTTATGTTGTTGAGGGTTTCTTTCTATAGTAAAGTAATATGACGTCAGGGCTGCCAGATCGTGTAGACGATACAACACAAAAAATATATAATTAAATTAGATTATCCTATACGTCTTATTCTATTTGTACAACATACTAATATCAATAATATTATTGTAAGGATGATGCCTGGGTAAAAAAAGAAACTCTTTCCTGTCCGTCAGTTAGAAAATAGAAACATATTAGATACGTATTTTTGTATGCTTCAATTTAATAAGAAATGTCTCAGGTAATAATGGGCATTAAAGTTGAGGAATGGGGGCTCGCTACGTCACAACTATGTACAAAATGCACAATGATGTGACGTCATGCGACATTTAAACTCAATCTATACCTGTAATTTATTGAATACGCAAAAAACGTGTTTATTATATTTCGTTAATTTTGCTGACAAAACAATAGTTATCATCCCTATAATAATCATTTACTTTTCCACACTATTTTTATTACAAAATTCACGCGCCGATCTTTTAACAGAGATGGCACAAAACTGCCCCAAAGTCGGTTTATGTTTATATATGAAAACACTAGTGACCTAATAAGGTCACAATGACAAAACATAAACATAGTTTCAGAATACTATTGATAAATGTATACCAATAATTTCCTGACAACAATGGAACCCGGTGTACATGTTTAGAAATGAAAAATACGCAAGTTACATAATAAGATCTTAAATAACATTTTTCTTTTTTTTAATTATGGAGTAAGATTAGATTTCGTATATTTTTTTGCAATGTACATTACACGAGTTCGTTACTGGCAACCCTGCGCCACGCAGTAACTTGGTTCTTCATAGACAGGGGAGTCGCTTAGTTCTCACGGTGTGTGAGAATGTGCCAAGGTGCAAGGGTTCGGACTTTCGGCAGTCCTGCGATATTTAATAAGCACTTCAAGTTTAGCGACTCACGTTTTAATTATCTTTGTAGTTATCGATAATAAATTAAATAAAGAATTCAAATAGATGACTAATTTTTGTTTGTATGTACGTCGAGTAGATTATAAAAGAATGTTAAACGCGTATTTCTTTTGCGTAATCAATAAATTACGGAGATACATTGAGTTGACTTGTCGGATGACGTCACACTTCTGTAAATTTTAGTAGTGTGACGTAACGAGCCCCCCACTCTTATCCAAGCCGCTTCTTGCTAAATTGAATCAAAAAACTCAAATATTTTTCTAATATCTGATTGACGCTCTAAATAGAATCTTTTATGATTTAAAGCTTTTCGCCAGCGGCTTCGTCCGCATTTCGGTCTTGTATTATACATAAATCCTTCCTTTTGAAATCACCGTATCTATGGAAAAACGCATCAGAATTCGTTGCGTAGTTTTATAATATGTAGTGATATCTTTTTGATTTAGATAAAGCGTCAAGCGCAAGTAATATTCACTATCTAAAAAACTTAGAACTCTTAATTGAAAAGATGTATGATTTTAATTATCATACATCGTTTCAATTAAGAATTATTCTATGAGAAATGACCCACTTAAAATTTCCTAGTTCCGATTACCGATAATCTATCCAGGTGTATTTAACTACCTTTGTGTCCCCTGCATACCTTCATAGGTCATGCCGTGCATTATATAAATATTTAATTATACCTTAAATTTCTCCCACGGTCACCCTGAAAATAAACACAGTAGAATTTATTGACACCATTTTGAACCATATTCCATTTAAATTAAGGTTAGTAAAATACTGTATACGGAAGGACAATAAGTTGTTCGCGAATGAATTTAAAACTTTATGCTGTAAGAGTTTAATGGTCAATTTGTTTTGTTATAAAGTAAGGTCTATCGAAGTGTGACGGTATTGCATGAGATCGCGTGATGCACCTAATGAAAGGTGAATAACATTGTCATGTGTCGTTGATGTAGGGGATGGGTTGTGGGAAAAAAGTTCCGACAAATTGATATACTTTAATACAAAATGTTAATTAACTAGTTGTTAATCAGTCAATAACATCATCAGCAGCTTATTAGTGTCCACACTACTGGGGTCAGGCCTTCACTGCGGATGGAATCGAATAGGGAGAATGGCCCATGACCCACCGCGCGGACTCAGAGCGGAATTATGATCAACAGCGGTTTTATAAAAGTAAAAATATAGGACTGTTATTCGTGCTTTAATATCGAAGGAACTGTTAAGTAGGATAAAAATAAGATTATTATTATTCTATGAGTTGCTACACATATTAACTGTGCCTACTTCTCTTGTTGACTGGTAGAATGCCTAATGGAATTAAGCCCCCAATTTGTACAGATCTGAAAGTTTTGTATACAACAAGTTTCAATAAATGAATCATTATAATATCAAATTTTATCCAATTCCGTTGAGTAGATCATCTTCACAAACTTTTGCATTTATAATATTGATAGGTTTCGAGGATTCTGAAAGCGAAAGTAAAAAACATCCTTCCGCATCATAAAATACATATATCGAATAAGCGTGTGAACTTGGTTTATAATACTGTGCAAGCTTAACGGGCCAGCTTCCTTCCTCGGAGATCAAGGGATGTAATTTATTAACTCACAAAAACTCGAGGATGCGTTGTTATTATGTAGCTTTCTCACAGTTTGTAAACATTCGAGTCAAGGAAATATGATACTTTTCTCGTATTTGAAATTCTTACATCTATTGTCTTTTTCATTCGACTTTTTTATAAATCGTTTACCTAAACTGAATTAAGGGAAATTACTGCTGAAATATTGGTGAATTCTGGTGACTTTGTTTTTTGTATTGTAGAAATAATAGCAAAAATAATAAATTTTTACATTAAAACTATAAAATCGAAATAACAACTAATTTTTGATCTTTTATCAATAAACTTGATTCGACTTTATAAATAAATCTCTTCTACCTACATCTCCAAAATAACAAAGACTAGGAAAAAAAACTGTGTTACCCAACTTTTAACTGTCCTATTTTTTTCTCATCATCACACACGAGATTTCCCATGCAAACAGGTGGGCACAAAAACCGCGCGCCCTTTGCCTATCAACTCGTTTTTATTAAGAAGACTAAAGAAAAAAAAGTTGGTATCCGGCGGATGATTTCCGGGTCGTGGCGGACGAACGCACAAAAATTGTTATATCCCTGATTGATGGAATAAATATTTATCGTTGTTCACTTCATGTGGGAATTATTTGTGATGGGCCTCCTGCTTTCAATAGAAGTATAATTTTAATACGACACAAGATAACATATATAATTAATTTTACTACTAACCAAATTAAATATGTGTAAACCCGCCATTATAAAATTATCTCACATAATATTTAGTAAACTACTTAATACGTGTAAACCAACCATTAATTATAGAGAGTGCGTAGGTCTTGTTTTACCTATCTAGAAAATAGATAATTTATTAAAGGCACAACGTTGTATCCTATAGCCGAAGATATATTGAGGATCGGGGTTGGTGCTCCCGTGTTTGCAATGAAAAGAAAAATATTTAAAGCACTAGCTACCTCTGCGGAAACTTATCCGTCGCGCACTAACACGACTACTGTTATTTGTAGTTTACGCTTCTTCTAAAAATTTAATGCTATGGTGTATAAATTTTGAGTTGAACTCTTCGCTTACCTGTTCATTGTAAAATATCCTCACCTTAGGCGAATTCACCGATTAGATTCAAATTTTAGTCAACAAAAAGGACACCCACTTCACTCCTATACTAACATTGTCAGTTATCCAAAGATTCCCTGAAATTTCCATGCAATTCTTTATGTAATTTATTTATATACCTGCCTACAATATAATCTAATCTTCCCTTAATGCAAATGTTTAGAATATCATTTTCATTAAATACATTTAAGTCATGGTAGTGTCCTTAACCCTTAACTGGACGTTACTTATATTAGTTACCCATACGTCGAGTATAGTTATGCGGACTTCCCCCTATTAAATTCCCACGCTCGGTCACGGGATCGGGTGACAGGTGGTGCTTGCCACATTCAATTTTTTTATACATTTATTTTTATAAAAAAATGGTTATTAGCGATTTTCTAATCATTATAATATTCTCGTTATCACTGAAAGCATATATGCGAAGTTAGTTGAGGAGGTATACTCCATGTTTTAATTAAATATGCAATTAAATTGAGACACTGCCGCTTGAGTAGCTTAATTCTTTTTGATTTTGAACAAAGAAAACTACACGTAACAGGCAGGGTAACTTTTTATTATTTCTAAAAAATGATATTTTTTTTATTTATTAATAAATACGGTAACCCACACACAGTCGATTAATACGGAAGTAAGATATTTTTCGGAATAATAAAAAGGTATTCCGCTCTGAAAAACAATTTTGGTTTTGCGAGTTTTTACTACGTATTTGCTTTCCAGCGTCGATAAACATACATTTAAATTCCAAATCTAATCAATTAAAAACCGATAAATAAATATCTTTGAAGCGGCGAGCGAAATGACCATTTTTTTTATACGAGCCTTATTGACATGGATCTTATTCGCAAAAAAAGCTGTTCGACTTGTGGGAAGTATCTTGGTACTGATTTCTCAGTTACCTCACCCGATATCCCTTTGTTGTATGGCACCTTGATAGGAGGGCTTTTGTTAGAACACCATGAAAGAAAAGATTACGGGTTGCTTTGTAAATGTACACTATTAAATGAATGAAGGTTGTGGGAGTCAATTTTGAAGTGGCGTTTCGATGCTATTAATTTAGGTATTTTATTTATACATAAACGAACGTTCGCTTGATTTATTAAAATATAATGCTCTTGATAATATTGGAATTAAAGCATTGCTATTTAA